GTGTCCTGGCTTGAGCTAAACAGAACCAGTTCTGTTCAGTGATTTTACTTTCCAGTTCAGTCTCTTCTGAGAGGCTGCACTTTCTGAAGTCAACAGCGTGGTTTTGCAGACAGTGTCCGCTTCTAGAAGTGGTAACGCCTAATCTTTGTAGTCACTACCAAGGGCTGGGATGCAGAAAGGCCCTTGCTTATATTTGCTCCTATAGTCACCAAGGTCACTGATAAATCTTGTATGCCACGCTGGGGTGCTGTGAAATAAAAAGGATGGCAAGGAAGTAAAAAGTTGCACCTTTGGGAAGGAGTGTTCAGGACAGGTGACCCCAAACTGACCAACCAAGTGTTGCATTCTATAATTCCATTCTCATGGGTTCACTGTGTCCCACCAAAGTACTTCGGCCTCACACTCCCTCGCTCTCTGAAATTCTGCAGTACTTTAACCCACCTGGTTTCAAGTGAGCTACTTCTGAATTTAAGCAAATGAAAAGAATCAGATTTTCTTTGTGCCAGCAAGCCTCTCGAAGGATTTACTGTCCTGTAAACAACCCCTCTATTCTCTCTTTACCTTGCAGGTAACAACAAGAATATTCTGTGGAGAATTCAAACACAGAAGAAACTTACCAGGCAAATCACTGAAATAAATGTAAGGCTTACCTTGCTCTGTAAACATGCAATCCATTAGTACATTAATTTCCCATTAGACAAATGAATGACATAGGATATGGCATACTATGGAAGACGAACTGCATATCAGATGCAGTAAAACTCTAATCATAATTAAAATAGTCAAGTAAATATTATGTGAGCCAGAATCAAGCTACACTATGGCAGCTCTTCGCTATGCTGCTAGGTTTGAACTACAGTGCACATGCCAGGGCTTAATGCCTGCATTAAAGTTACCCTGGTTACTAAGGACTCCAATCACCTGAAATTTGTTCTCTCTGCTGTGGGGAACCGTATGTTTATTAGAATTTAGTTTGCATAAAATGACCCAGAATACAGACACAGACACCCGAAGCAGTGTATTTAAAATTAAAACTACAAAAAAAACAAACCAGGAAAGAAAAAAAGCTCATGATCCATGTCTTTAACATCAGGAATGTGACAAGGAACTCAGTAACCAGAGATGCAGCAAAACTGTCATGATATTGATAATAAAGAAATACTTACCACAGCATGATGATAAATCACAAATATTGCTAACTGTGCTGAGGCAAACAGCACATACACATGAACAAAATATAATGACATGGTTTAGCATCATCATTTTTCTAAAGTGGCATAGTCATTTGGAAGGACAATTGGAACCATGTATAGTTCTGTTACATGAACTAAAAGATAACCATCAACTGAGCCTGCTCTTCTGCAAGATTCACTGCACTCTGGATATACGAACAGAATTAGACAAGTCTTTGGGGTATATCAGGTCAATCAAAACAGTCAACAGATATAAGCAGTCTTGGGAAGAGTTGACAGAACTAAAAGCCAGGCCAGGCCTGCTGCTTAGCTTACAAAAAGTACACAGCCCTTAAAGAAAGTATGGTCACTGGTATCAAGAGAGGCCCAGGTGACTGTTTTTAAGCATTTTGTGAACTACAGATAGAACTGATAAAAGGATGGAGATTCAGGCAAAGTGCACGTTAAGTAATCTGGAGGACACACATGTTACGTGCTTGGATTTTTCTTAACTTCTTCATCCCAATCAAAATCTAATGCAGCATCATCTAGCTCTGCTATTGAGAAGAGAGGTTTCTGTGTGGTCACACAGGCTTTACTAGCATTTCCCAACACAAAAGTCTTCCTTCTGCAAGGATTGCTCACGCGCACTTTCACCAACGGGCTGTGACCTTCCTTGTTAGTGTCAATGTTAACAGTAGGTGAGGTTTCCAGTTTTGACTCGGGACGTGATGCAAAGGAGAACGTCGCCAGTTTGGCTAACGTGCTGGAGCGCACCTTTCCTGTGCTTGGGCCACCAAGCTTCTCCCCTCCTTCACTCTTCTTTTCAGTGGGTGGAGAGGACACAGCATCAAAACTGACATCAGAGCGTATCATTGCACTTCCTCCGACCTCTCTCCCTAAGGCCTGACTCTGTTGCTCTTCTCTCCCTTTATTATCAGTTGATCGTTTTTCCAAACTACTTTTTCCTAAACGATTCAATGTCATCTTGCGTTTCTCAGGGGGGCAGCATTCTTCTGGCAGCTGCTTTCCCTGGGGCTGTTCTCCAGGCTTAAAAATAGTTTCGCTCTGAAAAAGAGAACGGTCTTCGTTTTTCTTCTCTGAAGCATGATCAAGTTTTGTCCTTGCTCTGAAAGAAAACTTAGCTAGTTTAGCTGCTGGAGCACTTTCACTGTCAAGGATTTCTGGCTCATGGGTACTCACTACCTTTGTTTCCTTCACCACTTGATCTTTACTTCGTTTTCTCATTGAAATGGTTGCAGTTTTTGCTGCTACAGATATGCTGTTCTCTGCTTCCCCTAGAACAGAATCTGCATCACTTGAAAGATCTGACAGGTCAGGTGCAGGTAACATGGACAGAAGGGCATTTGTCTTGGGGTCCTGCGTACTTGTAAAGAATTCACGTGATTTCTCCGTGTGCAGTCTCTGCCAGCTTTTAGAAACCCGCTGCATAATAACTGAATCCTGCACACCGGCGCTTGGCAATGCTGGGTCTTGAATATTTGCTTCTGAAGAAAACCGGTTGTGTTCGTCAGTCCTTTTCCTGCTTATGCTGAAAACTTTGTCCTGTTCCAAAAGAACATGCAGATTCCCAGTTACTGCTGACTCTCTCATTCTGCTTCCTTTCCTTGGTGTTGAAGCGCTTCTTTCTTCAGAACAGGATGTTTTACGCAGGGTTTTTGAAGCCAAGTTATTTGGAGATATCTTGGGGGCTGGAGACTCTTTTTCAAAAGTTTCCTCAGCATCAGTGTTGCTCTCTTCCAGGCTGTCAAACCATGCCAGGCTGCCATTGTCACCTCTCTTACTACATGTAATCAAGTGGTTTGTATTTTTGTTATCACTGTGTGCTGGGCTGCACAAAGGTTCTAGGTGTGTATCCCCTTCAGGCAAAGAAGGCTGTGGCCTGGAATTAGTCTCTTGTTGATCTGAAGGTTCTGACTGGGACAAGTGCTTTGACTGCCCAAACGTATCCCTGTTCAAGCACGCTGTAGTAGTACTGAAATTCGTCTCTTCAGGCTGCAGCTGGCATGAATTTTCCTTTTGCAATCTATGGAATGAAAAACAAAAATAAAATAGTAATTTATTTTTCATTTTTTTTCCCTCTGTTACATCACTGCCACTTAATATGTATGAATGGTGAAAAGCTACAAATAATGTAGGTCACAGAAGTGCATTGTTAAGTTTGACATATAGCTTCGAAAGCTGGTGTTGCAGTCTGTGATCTTTCAGCTTTTTATACGGTAAGAATTTAGTGTCTGCAATAGAACACAGGAAGATGGACAGAGAAAGCAGCCACCTAAACTTCCATTTCCTTGGGAAACCAAATAAGAAAAAAACAAATACCGACAAAGAGCTTTGCACTACTTACAGCCATTGCTAGAGCCCATTAGGGATTGAATAGTCTGCAAATGTATCTTCTAGAAGAGGGTCCCCATTAGATACGATCCCGTGTGAGGCAAAGCCTCAAACGCATTGTGTTATCGGAATGGAAAAACTAGGTATTACTTGGAATAGTGGTTGCTGGTTATTTTCTCTCACAATCACTATAGATTCAACATGCCAAAAACACCGCAATAGACTGAAAGTATCTCAGACCACTCAGAAAACTTAATTATCATTGTCTGTGGCTATCAACATTCTCAGGGCCCTCCAAAACAACAGAGGTGCTAAAATGAGGGCTCCCTCCATTCTACAATTTTGATGGGAAGTGGCAGAAATTATCTGACTCGTCAAGACGGGCTGAAAGATAAATGCTTGTTTTACTGAAATAAAGTTTAGGAAGTATGGATAGGACAGGTCCTCAAATAAAGAATAGATTGTTTTAAAGAGGACATTCATTTAGTACTCTCTAAGCTGCTTAAGAGGGCAAAGAAGAAATCAGCTTAATTTGCAGCACAGGGGATTCAGTAGGATATCTGGAAAACCTTTATAAGCATTAGGATAGAGCAATAATGGAAGGGACTATCCAACCGCAATGAAAATCTTCATTAGGCAGCCTCCGGAGCAGATAACAAAGGCCCCTGCAGGAAAGTCAAACACAGACCTGATCCCTTCTTTGTATTTGATCTCCCGTGCCATCCTACATTTCTATGATCCTGAATGAACACCTCTGTTTTAAAACTACTTTTTCCTTGTCTGTTGGAGATACCCCACTTTTATCTGCTTTTATTGCCTCTGTGAATATTTAAGATGTTCTTACTACGAGTTACAAAATAAGTCTGAAAAAATACTTAAAAGAAAAAGTGTATTGTACCAGCTATTTCCACTAGCTTGGTAACGTTAATCTTTAATCTTCCTTTAACAGTACATAAGTATGAGTTTCCTTAGAGCCTAATCTACCATCAAGAAACAAATGTTATTTTTCTTCCATTTTATTTCCTTCCAATCCTCATGCTTTCCTTTCAGCCTAGGTATGCTAAAAGCTTTCTATTAACAACAGCAAACAGACGTTCCAAAGATTACAACAGTGAGATGAAAACTAGAGAAGAAACGGTGAAAACTCCAGTATGTAAAAAAAGAAAAAAGTGCAAAAGAACAGAACTTTGATTCTGGCTTATATTTTCCCTTAAAGGAAGGGAAGGATCCAACACAAACGAAGGCTTAAAAAATATGAAGTGGGTCTTCTGTATTTTACCAAGCAAGTAACAAAAGGTTATATAAAATTATTTGTCCAGCTACAGAATCTGGCATTTTGACCTTAAGAAGCTCTGCTGAAACTTCTCTGAGAATAGAAGTGATAGGAGTTCAGAACTGATTAAAGTGTTCTTAAATTCTCTGTAAATTCCATAACCCAGAGGGAGAAATGATACTGTGATGATCTCAGAGTGCTACCTTAAAACAATCTCCCTGCTTATCCATGTCCCCCAAAGAATAAGTTCCTTTCCAATGTTTCCAGTTTTTAGACACTCTCTAGATATTATTGCCTTTTCCATTACTGTATTATTTTGTTACTTTGCATATAATAACCTGTCAAGTCTTCGCAGCTCTTTGCGCAGGAGGTCTTGCAGCTCCAGTCGCTCCAATATGAGTTGGCACTGTGTTCGGTACTGCGCCATTGGATTTTCTGGAAATGAGGTGTGTAAGGCATTGATGCCTCCGAGAAGCGCACCCCCCTATGTCACCAAGGAGTTGAAAAACAGAGAGGAAGCTATCTTTATTATTCAGCAATAAATGTAAACAGCAGAGACCATTTTATACAAAATTCCCCCTTAGATATTTTAAAGCTTAAGGCAGCAAAGACTTACACAAAGAACCCTATCAGGTCTGCACACCCAGGTAAAGTCATTCATGCACATAAAGCAATTATATGATGAAGCCTGTAGTTTACTCCTAATGGTTTATTTTTACTTACACAAAAAATGGGAATTCTACCTGAGGCTTGAGAACATTAAAATGGAAATTACAATGAAAGAAGTTTTCCAAATACCTTGTAAAAATCCTGCCAATGTGAGCAACTTTTGTAACTGACTGCTACAAGTTTTCATTAGCTTTGACTACTTATTTAAATGGAAAGACCTGGGTATTAAGGCTTGTCAACACAAGGTAAATTGACCAGCAGAAATATTTCTCAATAGCTCTTTAAGAGTAACTACCTTTTCAGGAATAATTCCAGGGAGCAAGTGATTTTAATCTCGGACAATTTTGCTGCACCTTGTGAAAATGAAGTAGTTTTTATTTGGAACAGAGCACCTGCACAAAGCAACCTGTTCCACATATAATCTAGAATAGCTCTGTAGTCGATTGCTCTTTGCAAAAAGAGCCCCACACCACAAATCCTCTATTTTGCCAGAGATTAACTAGTATTTACCACTCCTGTCTAATCTATAAAGCTCCAAACAACTAACGAACAAGATGTATATCAAGTGCCATGAGAGCAATAGCAAAAGTCAACAGAATCTCTAGAACCACGTTGCTATGGTATCACACAGACCACACGGTCATTTATCACAATTTTGGTTCTCCTATTCTGAAATTTTAAAATTTTGCATTAAAATAAATTACATTTTAAAAGCATCATTCTGGTGGCTAATTAAAGACTTCTAAAACTACGTCGTGCTATAACTAAGGCTGTTCGTGCAAGCATTAATGCATCCCAGTGAAGTATCTTTCAGGTTTTTGATCGTGTATCACTTCAGGAACATGACGGATTCATTCCTCAAGGAAGCACAAGTCTGCAGTCACAGAAAAGGTTGTTGCAAAACCTCTCTGCCCTATTTGGCAGGTTTAGAGTTAAGGAGGCAGGGACTGTGGAAAGGAAAGGCCAGCCTTTTGGTTAGGACAGTTAAAAACAGACGAGGAGAATGAGATTCTGCCTCTGACCCTAAGTTCCACTTCTCGTGGTTCCGAAGGAGCCAGGTAAGCAAAGCTTTTGAAAGGCAAGCCCTCTGTAAATGGGCTGCTGGTGTGGTGGGTGCACAGAAGGAAACCGGAGTCAACAGGAAACACACTCAACACTCCAAGTGCTACTTCTCTGAAACTGGGGCCCTAACCATCTCTCATGGGATACACTCCAGTGGACAATTTCTTCTCGAATGTGCGTAATTCAGCTCCAGATCACAGGACAGGAGTAGCACCATTTCATCACTTCGGAAAGACTGCATGAAGATAAATGAACTGATATTTCTGAAATACTATATACACTGGAGATGGATTCCACAGAAAAACCCATGAAGAAATTGAGACTTCTACCTTTAGAACAGCAGGTGATAAACAAAGTATTGAGCAAAACACTGACAAAGGTTAGTTGCTTTCAGCCTGAGTACTGCCAATGCATGACCTAAGGACCCAATAGAAAAAAAAAGGAATACATGATCATATGTCTTGAGCTATATGCTTAAGGGGTACCATTATATTTTGCCCTCACTGACCTAGTACTTTACTTGGCCATCACAATGAGCTTCTTCTCAATGTTTTTTTCTGTGTGTGAAATTCTAAGAGTGATGGGACTGAATTTAAGTATCTGTGAAGTTTCATTCCTGTGCTGGTGCCTACATCTGAGGTACCTGCCCCTGGGAGACTGTGAGATGCTTTCACTAGAGGAAGGCAGCCATATGACGAACCCACATGCTGTGGAACTGAGGGCAGAGGATCTAGAACAGAGAGAGAAAAAAGAAAGCATTACAGGGAAAGCTAGCAGAAAGGAAGGGTCTAAAAGTGCCTAAGGATGGGGAGGCCAAATGTAAATGGGAACTAAAAGGAGAGGGATTGGAAAGGGAATAAAACAAGGATGAAAACATGACCAGGAGAAGGAGGGAGATAATATTAACAAAGAGGAAATGAGGCAAAGAAAATATCAGACCAGAGGGGATTAGAATATGCTCGCAAAGACAAAGAAGGAAAAAAACACAACTAGGGTGAATTAGAGGACAAAACAAATAACCCAAACAAACTAGGCTAGTGATGAAAATGTGATGGTCCTCCTTCCCAAAAGGGCTCACAAGAAATAGTCGAACACTGACTGTGAACTTTGGCTTTATATGGGTAAGAATATGACTTTTTGTAGAAGCTGCAAAGGTAGCGCTGAAGACTGCTGAATGGAAAGGTGTTGCCCAGTCCTTCTAGAATGACACTAGTACTCACCCACTTACAACCTCATTCTACAGACCGACAATCAGGCAGGAAACACGGGGTTTATCTATACATAAAGTTGTTGAGTGGGGTTTGAGGGCAGGACTATATAAATATGAAAAAGTGACCTCACAGTTACAAAAGTTCTTTCACATTTATTTGTGCTGACGAGGTAGAGAGATACATAGATGACACTGCCCACTCGTTATTATTATATATATACAATCCACTTTTTGATCTGTCATGAAAAAATTAGTATTTCATATTTCTTACATCCAAAACTATATGGAGTGGAAACCACTGTCCCATCGAATTCCCATCTAGTTAATTAAATGTTTAATTACAGTTAATGAACACTTATGTGACATCTTCTGCCGTTTCAACACATTAGTGCAGCTTCTTATTTTAACTTAGGTGCAGTGCTGTCACTGAAAAGCTGAGCTCTTCAAAACAGTGCAAGATGAATTGCAGCAGAGAGCGAAATAATCTTTTGCTACTTAATAAGGTCAGGCCCTGTAGTATTTTTAAGACAAATTCCATTTGCAACACTGCACAGCAGATTCTCCACAGCATAAACTGCAATTAATCTCTCAACCATCACTGAAAGAACAAGGGAGATCACTGGTGCCTACCTGCCACATGTGACTTTGGGCATCTACCCTGAAAAGCTTTATTTCCAAATAAGGAGCGTATCTACTCCTGCAAAGGTTTTTAAGATCCGTTTCGCTAATGGGTGCTACGTAAAATTGTTTAATTTGAATATATTCATAACAACCTATACAGAAACCTAGGAAATGCCATTTTGGATCAGACCAGTCATCTGAGCAGTGGGATACACCATCTCTGACAGAGCCAAACCCAAATATTTCAGCTGTGCTAGAAACTTCCATGCATTAAACTCTGGATAATCTGCTTATGGTAATTTTTTATTTCTACTCCAGAACCTGAAGATTTGTTTCCCTTAAAAATACTCCACCTGAAGTAATAGCATCTATATTATTTTCCACGTTTCCATTTAAAAAAAAGCCTCTATCGGATTCACATTCCTTTTATTAATTCTAAATGGGTTGCTTTTTCTTAATATCCAACATCTTAATAACGTTAAACTAAAATCTAGCCTTCCATATCTTTTCAATGCCTTTTATATAGAAATATTACACAAATCCACGTGATAAATGGAATGCACAATTTTCAGTACAACCACAGTTTTGGACTTTCAAGGTTTCTCAGAGTAAAATTAGTCTTCTGAAAGTTCTGAGTTTTAGTATCCCCACCGACATATTTTAAAATGATCTAGTGGCAAAATAATGTGTAGGTCTTGGCAACTGTTCAAAACTTGCTCCAAAAAAATAACTTGATTCTCTCATACCTAGTTAATGAGGAAGAGATAAGATCATGGAATAAAAACCCATCAGAGGCTATTGAACACGGTGATATAGACACAATTCCTGTCTCAAAAGCTCTTTAAAATGTAGATTACCAGAAGTCAATAGTAGGCCAAAACTTCACTTAGACTGCAAAGTCTATGAAAAAAAACGTATCAGGCCTTTATCATCATTCCAGATTTTTTAAGTATAATCTCCGTTTTAGGATTTTATTAATCAAGATGGACTGAAAATTACTTGTCAAGGTCTCTGATGAGCTACTTTCCATGAGTCCATGAAACCTTCTCCAGAGAGGCAACGGGAACTGGCACGTATCCCTTCAGTGCGCTACCGCAGCAACGGCAACGTCTGTGAGAAACTTTACCTGCATAGAAGACTCCATCACCGATACCACAGTTACAGCATCTTCCAAAGTCACAGTGTCCCTAAACATCAACCGGGCATGAGCTATCAAGAAAAAACCAAACCAGGCATTGAAAGGAAGCATTGCCAAAGTCAAAAAGCAATTTTTTGTACTAGAAGGGACAGGACATTTCTTCAAAATTCTTCAGCTCCTCAAACGTTGGTGTATGGGCCTAACTTGAACATTAATAAAATCTTTTTGATTTTTGATGGGAATTGAAAGGCTTAGTTTTACTAGTGAAGAATGTAATGTGACTTCCAGATTATGGTTACAGTGACAGTTTGAATAAAGTTGCTTAAAATGCTAGAGTGAAAAAATATGAAGTGTTTGATACCACAACAAAGACTGTGATATGAAATAGCTCTATCTATATAGGTACATTTCATGCCCACGAGGTAAAAGGTTAAGCCTAATTTTCATCAAAGACCAGAAAAGATTTTATTTCCCCTAACGGGTCTGTGTCATATATTTAGTATTATTTAAAATGCTTTTGTCTACAACAGCTTTATTTTTTCATGCCTCCCTTTCTTAAGTCAGCAAAACAAAACTGTTTTTTGTAAATGGATATAATGCAAATAATTTACTACATGAAGCTCTCCTCCTAATTGGCTATGGAAGCACGTTTCTTACACAGCAAGAGAAATCCAAATTAATACCATCTATATAATAATTTCAGAGAACAAAATGGTACTGAAAGCCCCAATAATCTGAACACATAAGAATGAAAGAAACACTGAATGTGAAAAAAATATGTGGAGCCCTAAAACTTAGGAATGTCTTGTAGTTAAATAATTTTTCCCCCAAAAGGGAGAACAAAAGATAAACCATCTCATGAAGGAAGGACTACACTGCTAAGTGGCATATAATAGCATAAAGACCATTTATAACTGTTATACAAAAGTACAGTACATTCTTTTTAAGTCATCCTGAAAATATTTGATATGCCATTCTGTAAACCAAAATCATATTAAGACAGAGACGTACTTCTTCCTCTGGTTTTGTTCTTATAAATGAAATATCATTTAAACTCATGAGTTGGGAATGTTAAAGTCATATTGCAAAATACAGACTTGATTACTGGTACTTAGGGAAACAAAAATGTGTTCCTTTTGATGTTATATTAATGTTAGGATAGAAACAAATACTTGACACCTTTTCTCAGGTTAAGTAGGATGGCAACTCAAGACTCAAAGTAAATCTTGAGATTGCTGTTCATAAAGACACATAACTTTTGAGATTTTTCTCTCAAATGTGCTTTCTTCCAGTGGATTTAGTTTTTCTTATAGGTGTAGAGAATGGAAAAATTAAAACTGGTTTTGATAATCTCAATGTGATGCCCCTTCCCACATTCAGAATCTCCAATCCCAAGTCTCTTTAGATCAGAAAGCTTACTAACACAATACAAGAATCACCTACCTCTACCTCCCTGGAGAAGCTGCTACTCTGCTTACTGGCTATAATTATATGCCGGATCTATTCATTTTATAAAGGTTAATTGTCAGCCTAAAAAGAAAATTGCCACGGCCTTACCTTCTGCAAGGCGTATCAAACTCTCTAATAAGCGAATGGTAGTCCGGGCAGCGTTTCTGCAGTCACTCTGGCGCTGCATTTGATAGTAGCGTACGAGGATCAGGTGGCTCTCATCAGACAGTTTGGGCTGTATGCTTTTTATAAGGCAGAAGTAGGTTTTCATCTTTTCCATGCTCCAGAGCTTTTCTGATTTGCTTGGGCAACCTGCGTTACAACTGCGTGGTCAGTAAATGTATAGAACAGACGCCAAGCTCTTTCCCAAAAACTCCTGTTAAACAGACGGGTGACCATAAAAGACACGTTACTGTCTTTTGGGGGCATACTGGCTTGTCTGCGCACCAGACCCCAAGGACTTGGTCAAATTCCAGTGTGGCATTTTACACACCATCCAATCCCTCCTCTATCAAAATCCACAGTAAAGCTTCCAGTAATTTCACCAGAACGGCTGTCAAGACTCACTGCCCAGCAGATGGTTCAGTCAGCAGTAAGTGCTTTAGTGGTCCTTAAAATGTTGCATGAATGCATGTACCTCCTCCAGCTGGTTTACCCACTTTGTAGAAGCCAAAAAGCAACCTGCTGTATTCTGAACACTTTTTGCAGGGAAAGATTTTGGGAAGGGAAGGAAGCTAGCTGAAGAAGTTTGCTTTAACCACTTCTGCCCCAATGGGGATCCAAGCCCTGTTCCTCAAGTGGATGGAGAAAGGGCTGGTTAAAATCAAAGCACGCTGCCTGCCCTAACTCCAGAGCACAGAGCTCCATCTAGGGAACACTCACGTTCATTCTTTGAGCCCTGCAGCAGGCACAGCTTAGATCTGTTCGATCTCAATTCAGTGTCCCATGAACAGCAGGTACAGCTGTGCACAGGATCTGCAGTGTAAAGGTGCAGGATGGAAACTATCCACTTCCTGAGCAGCCTGGGCCAAAAATCTCTTGTAAATGATCATAGATTAAAAGTACAGGGTTCTCAACACATCTCCATTAATTAATTACCGATCCCTATCTTATTCCTACTGGGAAAAAAACCCAAAAAATATACTGAAGGAAACTACCATAGCAAAATTGTAAGCACGGATTAATATGGAAGACTCAAGAATAAAAAATTAAAAGTAGGGAAAATAAAAAAAAATAAATTCCAAAATATCCACCTTATAATTTAAAACCACTACTCTTACCTTTATTTTGCAAGATGAAGGATGAAATGATGCGGTCCCATTCCTCATTCTTTGTATCTAACAATACTAAGATCAGGTCAAATCTGCTCAACAGGGGACTGCCAAGAGCTATGTTGACAGACACAGACTCATTCGGGTCATAATGGCCTTTTGGATTTGTTGCTGCCAAGATAGTCGTCCTTGTATTAAGCTTGCACACCAAGCTAGAGAAAAGTACGGTGAACATTATGGTTGAATTAAATTGGGTATGGGAAATCATTTCAAGAGTTGAAAATTAGCACATTTTTATATCATAAAGAGTGCATCTTACCTTAGAAGACCATAAGAGCTAAACAATATACACAATTCTTGTATTAATTTATATTGTACACACACAGCATTTCTCAGTAAGGCAAGAGCAACTAGACAGAAAGACAGTGACCAGGATACTAGAAGTAACTAAGCAATATTGCCATGAGTAATCTCTGTACACAGCTACGTCCTTAAACGGTGAAAACCAAAATCACTTTTCAGAAATATTAATTTGCTGATTTATATGGCATATAAACACTTGTTCATCATGGAAAGTAACATTTTAGCTGAGTTCACATTTTAAGAAAGCCAAATAAAATGTAGTATAAATGTATGCTTTACTCCTGCGTGTGAACATGGTATAAATATGAACCCAACCAATTGGTAGCCATTACCAACTGCTTCTCCAGGGAAATGGCCATTTTCTTCTCATAACCATGCTACCCTGGCACGTGTTTTTAGATATGAGGAGAGATTATTTTTGTTCTAGTAGTCCAAATATAATATTTTCAGTTAAGGCAGCAGCAGCAGAATTCTAACTTTGGTTTGTCACTGAGCTATTTCTAGTCAGCTCCTGAGTAATTGCTGCCTCACGTCCAAAGTTCTTCAGCAACTGAGAGAAAGGACCACAGATCATCTCTTTGCTTCTATCAGAATAAACCTTAAATTAACAAAGTGCTTAGTCTGTCTGTGCTAGGTTACTATTCAAAAAATCCTCATTCTATGTAGTCCTTAAAAGTAAGCAACTGAGACCGTACGTGCAAGTCAGCAAAATGTGGTTTGGGGTCTACAACACCCAACCAGCTTCAACAAGGAACCCAGCTAAAACATGTCACTGTATTGCTGAGTAGAGAGGACCTCAGTGATTCCCAATATTTGCCCTCGGCTGCATTACTGCCAAAGGCTACTCATCTCCCAGGTGAAAGCAACATTAGTTGTCCACCGTCGGCCAAAGAGGGTAAAGAGGGTTTCAGTGGAGAATTTTGAATAAAGAAAGGACATGATGAGTTACAGAAGCCAAGAAGATGTGACTGGAGCAAGCGCTGAGTTGAAGGCGACAAGGAAGAATGTGGAAAAGGTGACGCCTTTTGAGCAGCAGAGATCTCAGCAATATCAGCCAGGAAATTATTTGGGCCTGGACTGGAGCTGCATATGACTGACAGAGTAGGATGTAAGTGGCACGGGGGCAGAAATAGCAGATGTGAACACATGCTACTTTGAAAAAAATAACTTAAAGTAAGCAGGAGTTTACGCCATGTCCAATATATAAAATCTAGCAGCCTTGAAAATCCTTATTGGGTTTTTTTTTTTGGTTACCATGCAGTATTACTGCATTTTGGAGAAATGAAGTCCTGCTTGCTGAGTTCCAACAAAAACTTCACAAAGTTCCTCATTTCACATATGATTATTATGACCACTCGCAGCAACAGACAAGAAGAAGAACACCAAGTTCTTCTTCTAGGAAAGTGCCCTGGTCTATACTGGTAGATTGAAAACCCAGCAGTGCAGGGGGAATGCATTTATTCTGATCACCTTCAACCTCTGGTGCTGTGCATTGTCCTTTGAAATGTTGATTTGTCCAGTTTATGAATATCGCTGAGAACAAAATTATTAAGTACAACATAGGAAACATATTTAATCAGCGTGACAAACCTCCCTCCATCTTCTAAGCACAAGAGAAACACCTTTGGTTGTTTTATCACATGTTAGCATGCCGCTTACCCTGCCTTTGCAACACTGATGGTTTGCTGCTCCATTGCTTCATGGATGCTGGTCCTGTCATGTTCTTTGATACTATTGAATTCATCAATGCAACAGAGGCCTCCATCTGCAAGCACCAGTGCTCCAGCTTCCAAGTTCCACTCCCCAAAGTCCTTTACAGCAGTCACAGTCAAACCTGAAGAACCAATTACTACAGTCAGTCTTTTCCTTAAAATGCAGGAGAGCACTTGAGTGAAAGAAACGGATGCAGCTTGTGCCATGGAGAGAAGCCAAAGCAGCAGGTTAGCTCCACGACATGCTTCTACCTTGTAATTCATTTT